CGCCGGCCTCATGGACAGTGCCAAGTACCCCGAGCTCGGCTACACTCCCTGCGTTGACGGCTTCGCTGCCGCAATTCCCGGAGGCTTCAACAACACCTTCAGGTGTAGAAATGTAAGTTTGCCAGACCTCTTGCGGAGACTGAATTAACACCCTTCAGATCGATCTGTACCACTTCTTGTCTCACGAGCAGCTCGGCAGCTGGGGCGGAAGAGGCTCGTCCTCTTGGGGTTGGACTTCAGCAGACGGAAGAGAATTCGTCGCCATCGGCCAATATGACGGCACTGCTTTTGCTGAAATTAGCAAGGAAGGCAAGCTGGTGTACTTGGGTCGTCTTCCTCAGTATGACTCCATCGGTTCAAACTGGAGAGAAATCCGAATCGTCGGTGATCTTGCCGTCATTGGCTCCGAGGCCATCAAGCACGGCGTCCAGTTCTTCGACATGAAGAAGATTCTCGACCTCGACCCCGCGAACCCAAAGAACTTCACTCAAGCCGAGCTCACCGGCCATTGGGACGAGCTCCCCGTCGGCCGTACCCACAACATCGTCGTCAACCAAGAGCTCAACTACGCCATTGCTTGCGGTTCCGTCGGCGGTAACGCGACGATTCGTGTGAGAGACAACCTCCCCTGCCGCGGCGGATTGATCTTCCTCGACATCAGCGATCCCACCAACGTCACCAGCCCCGGCTGCGCTGCCGGCGACGGCTACGTCCATGACGCCGAGTGCCTCGTCTACCGTGGCCCCGATACCCGCTACTACGGCAGAGATATCTGCTACGGTTACAACGAAGACACGTTGACCATCTACGATGTCACCGACAAGACCGGCAACGTCACCAACATCATCTCCATCAGCGACTACCCCGGCGCTCAGTACGTCCACCAGGGCGTCGTCAACAACGAGACGTGGCAAGAGTACATCTTCCTCGACGACGAGTTCGACGAGCGTGATGCCAAGGTCGGCCCGATGACCCAGGGTCTTCCCACCACTCACATCTTTGACATCCGCGACCTTGAGAAGCCCGTATACACCGGTCACTACGCCGGTAAGACCCGTTCCATCGATCACAACCAGTACATCGTTGGTGGCTACCTCTACCAGTCCAACTATGGCAACGGCCTGAACGTCATCGACGTCAGCAGCGTCACCAAAGACCCCACCGGTGCCAGCATCTGTGAAGCAGGCTTCTTCGACATCTACCCCGAAGACGACGAGGAAGTCGGCGGCGGCAAGGTTCAGTTCGCTGGCTCCTGGTCATCCTACGCCAACTTCAAGTCAGGCTTCATCTTTGTCCACACCATCGAGCGCGGTAGCTTTGTCGTAAAGATGACCTCCAAGGAGTGCCCTAAGGCGCCGGTGTGCAACGCCGATAACTGTCTCCGCGCTCTGCGGGCTTCGTCCATTCCGGATCGCTTGGAGGAATCTGTCGAGTTCTGCGGCAACTTCACACAACGACTGAACACGGACGAGGAGCTTCTGCCAGAGTATGCCACCAGCGCTTGTGTCGAGAGCAAGGACAAGAGCCCTGTTGAGAGGGTTAGCAGCGCTTGCGCTTGTATTCCTACCCCTGTTGTGCCTGAGCTGCCCAGAACGACGACACGTCCTCCAGTGCCGACGGTGCTGCCTCCGAAAGCTTAACGTAATATTGATTAAGAAACTTTAAGTAGCATTCAGCGATAGAGACAAAACACAAATAAGCGCCGTTGGAACTGCAATCGCTCAACCTCTGCTCATGCATCAACATTTTGATAAATCTAGACTGAAACATTGTTTGATTTTAGACCTGGCGAAGTTGGACTAATTAGCACGCCCGATATCTCAATTTGAAGAATTGCCTCATCCTGGTCCTTGCGCATCATCTTTGCCACTCCCTAGACCCCATACCATCAATGAATACGACGCATGTCCTCTGGCCATGGCTCATTGTACTCAGGGCAGATAAGATCCAACTCAAAGAAGTAGTGCTCCATTTCCAGCCAGTGATACGGATTCACATCCTCGCACTCGTCGCTCTCGGTTGGTCCATGCCATACAACGCCGATTTCCTCTGCATCTCGTCTTTCTGCAACAGCTAACTCTTCCCCGTTCAGCTTTTCTAACTCTTCGGCAATTCGATCGGACCAGTATGACCTCCAAAACTGAGGAAACGATCTCCCATTTTTTGACTCATCTCCCAGATATCCGCCAGCTTCCTGAATGAATTCTGCAACCAAATCCTCGTGTAAATCAAGTAGGAAGCCTTGGTTTTCGACGATCTCCGTATCATCTATATCAACCCAATCCGCTCCTTCTTCGACCAGGGAACGTGTGTTGCAACAGCTGTGAACGAGATCCAGTGCTGCAAATGTCATGAACCTAATCGCCTCTACATATGTTAAGAGTGTCAAGTTGTGGCCGCTTAAGCTGTAGTAAGCTACCATCCTATAGGCAAGAATCGAAAATGTTTCCTCTGGTGGTGCAACCCTTATCATTGGATGGTCAAGAAAACCTTTTATCATCCACAAGAATGGGCTGCAACCCCTCGTTGAGCAAGGACAGAGACAACCGTCCGTGAGACTGCGGCAAGTCACAGTGGTTCTCAACGTTTCAAAGGCAGCCGAACATTGAACTGTCTCTCGACAGCTTTTCAACCAATCGTCGTCGTTCTTACCTAATAGGTAAAAGACATAGTGCGCGGCGAACACTCCATAACCGGCGGTCTTGTTGACAGGACCTGCGGGTGATCGCAAGAACAGATTTCCTCCGTGCTCGAGAAGCCAGGAAACAATCTCCGGGTTAAGGAACATCCGGAGACGCAATGCATCCGGCTGGCGAAGCTGAAGAAATACATCTGGCCCGGGCATAAACCCGTGACGATAGAACAAATTGGCCAGATAGACGGACCTAAGTTGTTGGAATATCCAGTCTGACGTAGAGCCAATGGCTCCGTCAGTCTCATCACAGATTTGTCTTGAGGCCTGTAAGATGCTCCCTTGGATGTCGCTCGTTGTATTATTTTCGCCGACCCTTGGGTTTTTGAGCAAACTTTTACTTGTCAAAGCATGTCCTGGTCTCCGCAGTCCACGGGCTTTTCTCATGTGAAAGACATAATGGCGCCGAGCGAGCTCTGATGAACTCACAAGGATAGCATTCAGATCTGGCGGATAACTGCCTAATTTGCGTGCTCCATTCGTTTGGACTGGATTGCAACCGGCGTCTAGGAGATACTTGACGCAAAGATAGCAGGAACACCCTTTGCACCTTGCATGTTCTCTGCCGTTGACGCAGTGTCGTAAGCTAAGCGCCATGGCCGTTTCAAGTGCTCTAGTACCTGTCCTGTCTCGCTGATTCAGGATGTTACTATCCACAACTTTTAGGAGCCTTTTGAGAATATCTGGCTTCGCTGCGGCGAGATGAAGTGGGCTCCGCCCGTAGATGTCAAGTTCGGCTATTGAGTCGGGATAACGACTCAAAACACGGTTAACTTCATCCAAATCGCTACTAACAATCGCTATGCTTAAAGGCCCGCATTCGAAGGCTGGGTCTGAGTTAGTTAGGTGCATGTAACAAAACAGGGGAATGACAGCACCTGTAGCAACCTCGGGAAACTTGTCAATAGACAATATGCTAAAGTCTAAGGCAATCCGGAGTTTGGTAATGTCAGGAAAACTCCGTTTTGAGATGACCGGCAGGATCTCAACGTTAGCCCGTGATAGCGCCTCAACAACATCCCCGGCCCATTCACTACGTTCATACGTCAAGTCATGTAAGGGCGAGAGCCCTGCAGTAAGTTAGCAATTCAGTCATATTGTACACGTAATCAGTCGCAGCGGCTTGCCCTCAATGTCATATGAAAACGCTGGCACGCCATACGAGAGCAGAATCGGGAAGAATTCAGCAATCGCTTTCATCTCGCTAGGTCCTGATTGACAGGAGGATAGATGCATAATCTGGTGGATGACAGTTTAGTCACAAGCCATTAATTCGGGATAGAAAGACCTCACTGAAGAAATAGCATGGTGCATCAAGGTCCTATTCTGATCGTCCACAGCTGTGGGATATGTTCGTCTTTCTCCAAGAATTTTTGCCAACTTTCTCAAGCAAAGGATTACAAAGGGCGCCGTACTCGGCGCAGGCAAGACGCTCCCCATCAAGTCGATCAAGCGGAAAGCGGGATCTGACTTAACGTCAACAGTCGGATAGTAGGTAAAGCTGGGACTGATACTACAGCCCCCAGCTCCTGAAGTCAAGGCAAACGAAATTTCGATGACTGATTTCAGAAGGCGAGAGACACCAGTGTATTTTAAGCTTGCCTTGAGTCGTTGCTTTCTCGGCGTTTTTGAGAGTGGGCAGCTCGGCCAATGGCCGTGGGATTCCCACTCGCCGGACAGGTACGTGTGGCCTCGTTGCATCTGCATCTGCATGCATGATCTCGCGGGACGCGGGCATATACATACATTGCTAACTTGCATTGCAGTCCGTGGATTCCGTGATACATCTGATGAAGTGCTTTGCTGATGGCTTTTGGATCGGTCTAAAGGAATGCCTAGGTTGTCGCTCTTTCCCGAGAACTTGATGTCATCGCATAAACTCTTTAGTGCTGCTGGCTTCGAAGCCGCTCTGAAAACTAACTTCCGCAGAGAATTATTATCTTCTCCTAGAATTTGTACTTTTTGGTCGATTGTTTTGAGGTGCTCTACAATCAAGTTGTGGGAATGTTGAAGGTCATATCTGACACGCTGGCTGCTATCTTGGATCTCATGTCCCATAGCTCCGGAGTGAGCCATGACGAATTGAACTGTCTGATCCACACTATTCAGTAGATCCGGCAGCTTGTCATTGATATTGGCCACAGGCGTAGCGAGTGCTGCTACTTCTGACCGGATTAGGAGCATTTCGGAAGCTTGGTCGCGAGAACTCGATTCAATAGCCGTCAGCAAAGTTGTGTTCCTGTTCGAGGTCTCCCTACTGCCGTGTTAGAAATCATGCGAACGGAGAGAAGGTACGTTACAGATCAGCTTACAGTCCCAAGCTACTCTGTATCAGCTGTAGAGTACAGTGAGCCTTTTGCAGCTGTAGCTCAAGGTCTCGAAGTTTGTTTCGATGAAACGCAAAAGTCACCTTCTTCTTCTTATTCTCCAGCCGGCTCGTCCAGGTGCTGCCGGCGCGATCAGAAAGCTTGATGCATAGAGCTTCGATGGCTTGAAGGTCCTCCTCGCAGCTTCGTATGTTCTGATCAACTGCAGCAGTGACTGCAAGATTTTGGCCTTGCAGACCAGCTAACACCGTCTTCATCGCACGGAGTGTGCCTGCCAAGTTGTCGTTCTGTTTCTTGACGTTTCGTAGTTCATCGTCACGGCCCTCAAAGGCGTCCATGTACTTGATGATGCCGCCGGTGATCTGCAAGCCTAGAGATAGCAGGCCGGCAACCGAGGCTGCCAGGCCTACGCTTTCGGCCGCCATAGTTTGTCAGAGCTGCGAGCGATGGTGGAAGATGTTTTCGGTTGCTCTCGGGGAGATTGGTAAGGTGTTAACGAAAGGCCTTGACCAGCAGTTCTGTTTCTTTTGCGAAGAAAACTGCGATGAGGGAATCAGGCTACCTGCTGACGCTGTTAGGTGTTTTGTGGAGGTGTCAAGATCAGGCTGGCACGCAATTTCCACGGGAGGGCTTGAAATGATGAGGCTCGCCTTTGGAGAAAAACGTTCTCATTCGCTGTATCAGACGCTTCGTGATTGGATGCTGTACACGTGCAGCTCGGCACCATCTCGAAGTAATGCGCGTTGGCTCATCCTCGGCTTCTTTGCAAATTGTTGGATAGGTCTTTTGGTGGTTTCAAGTCCCCGTGCGATGAGCAATTCTAGCATAAGAAAAACACGACTTGCTTCACGAGGTTAACTAGGTAATCATAAACTTCAATTCTGAATGATATTGGAGATAAACGCTGAAAATATACCTGACGTGGTTCATGAGAACCAGACGGATATGCATCAATACTACCATCTACTCAAGCTGTGTGATGCGAGACCAATGATATGAACAACATACACGAAAACATGAAACTACCTGGCCTACCGGATAAACGCAGGCGATGCTGAAAGGGGCATTTTGCGTGGTTAATGAATAGTATCAGAGAAGGATGATGGCCTGGCGACCAATAGAGGATCATTCCGGTTTACGCTCTCCGTGCAATTCGAGTCCATGGGGCCTCAACTCTCGGACTACATGCAGCGAGCGGTTTTTCGGCTTGGAAATGTCAGTAGATGACTTAGCTTCTCCCATATCGCGACGTGCTAGTATTGAGTTAAACAAGGGAACTAATTCGAGACTTGGGATCAAAGGAGAAGCTACGAAGTCAGATGAAGGGAGCAATGAGGCTCTTCAGGTTCGTGGCGATCTTGCATGATCTTGAGTGGAAGCGAAGCAGAAAGCTAATTTGAATAATAGCATGCAAGCACGGACCTGGCTGCAGCTACGAACCATCACCCCAGGGGCCGTCCGTCCGCAGCAGAGGTGCATTGGACGGTTCCCTTAGTCCGGGGAAAAGACGGAAAGTCATAGGTAGCATCCCTTGCAGAGTTGGATGGATCATGGAAGAGTGCTGTGACCACCAACAGCTCTGGTAGTTGATGGCGATGCTTGCTTCTTCAGTATTTCAAAAGGTGATGGCATGGCGATGTCGCTTAGTGTGATGGGCGGAGGCCGAAAAGGGGAATTCTAACCGCCCAAGCCTGAAGCACACTGCATCAGACACGTGCCAGGCAAGATCGTTTCCAGCTGCGTCAAAGGCTCAAAAGAGACAGAAAGAATGGAAGCATGAGCGAAAAAGAAACAACAAACCCCAAGACAGGTGAAACTCCTTTGAAGCGAGCGAATAGAAGTAGCTAGCGCGCATCAGCCAGCAAAGAGCAAGACCAAAAGTTAAAGAGAGAGACACACCGCCCGAGACAGACAGTTGACCCTGGAATGACGAAGCAGAAGCTCCTGCTTGAGTCGAGCGGAAGAAGAAGTGAGCTGAGAACGGTCAACCGCGGCGACATCCGAAGCCGGAAGGACCAGGGACGGGTTCAGTTGCTACGTAAGTTGCGCGCATGCGCTCCAGTCAAAAAACAGCGGGCCAGGGAAGGGGCATCGTGGGCGTAAAGGGCGTGGAAGGCGCGTCGGGATTCCTCCCCCATGGCGGGTAGCGGCGATACAGTAAATCCGCTCCCCCGCGATTGCACGATGCAGGTGGGTCCTCTCATGACTCGGTCCACTTACGATGCTCCTTCTCTCCTTCTCCAGGTCCGGAGTCGCACCGCACCGGGGGGGCCACACCCCCCTCTCTCTGCTCAGTGCGGCACTGCAGGCTCACCTGGGTTGCCGGGCTGGGTCATTTGATGGGAGCAGTTCTGGGATGTGACTGGATTGAATTCAGGGCTGGTCGCCAAGCACCCCAGCACATGAAAGCCCCCCAGATGGCAGAAACGGCGGGCAAGGCGCACCTGGCAGAGTCACAAGTCAGCCCATTCCTTGGTTGGACCACCCCGTCTGCAGCAGCAGCAGCAGCCAGCAGCCAGCAGCAGCTCTTTCCCGTCGGCACTTCGCTGTCTCGGAATCTTTGGAGACGGCACCTTAAGTTATTACGGATTGTCCTTACCTCACTGGGATCCTTTTTTTTTTCTGCCGGCCAACAGCGAAAGCTACGTCTTTTCTCCTTCTCTTCCTTCCCCTCTCAACCACATCTCCCTTCTTCTTCCTCTTCTTCTCCCATTCACATCTCTTTTTTTTCTCTCATCCCCGAAAGAGAAAGACAATCAAGATGCTGTCCTCCACCAGAATCGCAACCCGGCAAGCTGCCGCCCGCCGCATGGGCGCCCTGCCCGTCACGGCCGCGAGAGCCGGTTCTACCTGGGCCAACGTCCCTCAAGGTCCTCCTGTATGTCTCAAACACTTCAGATGCCAATTGAATGCGCCACGAATGCTAACGAACACTGCAGGATGTAAGTGCTTGATGCGCCGATTGACAGAATCTCGACAATCCCCATGACGAACTGTTTTGCTAACTGGCCACTTTTTCGCAATGAACAGGCCATTCTCGGTATGACGCACCTACTTGGGTGGAGCTCCCTCGAGCTTCGCCAGTTGACTCAACTCCATGACTGACAATAGACAAACAGGCATCACGGAAGCCTTCAAGGCCGACAAGTTTGAGCAAAAGATCAACCTCGGTACGCAAAGCCCCCCGCCAAGCCACTTTTACCACCACAACCACCACCCTAGCTAGAGCTGTCACAAGCTTGCTAGCTGGCTGCAACGCTAGCCGGCCGTCAGCCGTCAACTACAAACACATAACGTCTACCATCACCGCAATGAACATGCCCATTGACGCAGACAAACAACAGGTGTCGGTGCCTACCGCGACGACCAGGGCAAGCCCTACGTCCTCCCCTCCGTCCGCGCCGCCGAGGAGAAGGTCATCGCCGCCAAGCTGAACAAGGAGTACGCCGGCATCACCGGTGTCCCCGAGTTCACCAAGTCCGCCGCCGTCCTCGCCTACGGTGCCGACTCCTCGGCCCTCGACCGCCTCGCCATCACCCAGTCCATCTCCGGCACCGGTGCCCTGCGCATCGGAGGCGCCTTCCTCGCCCGCTTCTTCCCCGGCGCCAAGAACATCTACATCCCCACCCCCTCATGGGCCAACCACGGCGCCGTCTTCAACGACTCGGGTCTCACCGTCAACAAGTACCGCTACTACGACCCCAAGACCATCGGCCTCGACTTTGAGGGCATGGTCGCCGACATCAAGGCCGCCCCCAAGGGCTCCATCTTCCTCTTCCACGCCTGCGCTCACAACCCCACCGGTGTCGACCCTACCCCCGAGCAGTGGCGCGAGATCTCCGACGTCGTCAAGGCCCAGGGCCACTACTCCTTCTTCGACATGGCCTACCAGGGCTTCGCCTCGGGTAACACCGACACCGACGCCTTCGCCGTCCGCCACTTCGTCAAGGAGGGCCACAACATCTGCCTCGCCCAGTCCTTCGCCAAGAACATGGGTCTCTACGGCGAGCGTGTCGGCGCCTTCTCCATCGTCGCAAAGGACGCCGAGGAGCGCAAGCGTATCGACTCCCAGGTCAAGATTCTTGTCCGCCCTCTGTACTCCAACCCCCCCGTCCACGGCGCCCGCATCGCCTCCACCATCCTCAACGACGCTTCCCTGAACCAGCAGTGGCTCGGCGAGGTCAAGGGCATGGCTGACCGCATCATCACCATGCGCGCTCTCCTCAAGGAGAACCTCGAGAAGCTCGGCTCCGCCCACGACTGGTCCCACATCACCAGCCAGATTGGCATGTTCGCCTACACTGGCCTGACCAAGGAGCAGATGGACGCTCTCGCCAACGACCACTCCGTCTACGCCACCAAGGACGGCCGTATCTCCGTCGCCGGTATCACCAGTGGCAACGTCGGCCGCCTCGCCGAGTCCATCTACAAGGTCAAGGGTTAAATCTTGCCATTGTGAATGTTTTTGTGATTTGTCCCAACGCGAGTCTCAGTCTAGAGTTGCTCTGAGCTAGCTTGCATTTCTCCCAAAAGATATCACGAGGTCTGTTGAAAGGGTAGTTGGTTTTCTATAAAAAGGGGGGTTTTGTACAACCAAAAGGGGGAGAGGTCTTCTCTTTTGCGCAGCCAAGGTTAGAATGGCCGGTGGACATAGAACGTTTGGCACCCCTTGGTAGACCACACATGCATTCCAGCTGTGTACAATATAGCGACACGTCTTTCAATGTAAACATGTCCAATCGCTTGCTTGCTTGCTTATAATGAACGAATTCTTCACCCAGCTATACACGTCAATGCTTGATGCTTGATGCTTGATCACGCCCTATCCAACCTTGCCAAATCCCGACTCGCATCCTCCAACTCCCTCTCCATCTGCCTCTTCTTCCTCGCCATCTCCTTCATCGTCTTCGCCTTGCCCTCCTCCCCCTCAACCCCGACCCCGTACCCCTCCAACTCGGCCCGGAGCGTCATCAAAGTCCCCTCAAGCCTCATCCTCGCATCCCGCAAATGCGCAGAGTAATTCGTCAGCGCAGCCACCATCTCGGGCGAATACACCTCCCTCCTCACCCCCTCCCTCGCAGCCACGGCATCCGCCTCGGCCCTCTGCGCCTCCAACCCCGTCTCCGCGGCCCTAAACTCGAGACTCCGCGCCACGACGCCGTGTTTGGCTTCGAGGCTTCTAACCAGGAGCGTCAGCGCCGCGGCGTGCTCGTCGAGGCATTGTGTTAGGGTATCTGCTGCGCGGAGGCGTTCTCGGGCGAGTGCGAGTTTCGATTGGGACACGTCGGAGGCGAGTTTATGGTAGGTTGTTTGCAGACCGGGGACGGCGCGGTGGAGGAAGGAGGGGTTTGTTGTCGGGTTGGCGATGCGGGCTAGGGAGACGGCGGAGGTGTGGAGGGTTGAGGAGATGAGGTCGCCTAGGTGG